TTACAAATGTGATATCATGGCAGGAGATCGAGAGCCATCTTTCTCAAATGTTGATCAGATCAGATCAAATCATTTAAATTACTTCACATCAGATTCGTTGAATTTTCTCAGACTGACATGAACACAACAAATGAACATAATAGGAATATGCCTTCTTGTAGTGGTATTTCTACTAAAAAACCTGTCGGCACAAATATTTTGTCAGTTACACCATCAGCATCTGTTGCACGACCTCAAGCTTTCCCTGCCTCCATTTCCCTTGCAAGCATGCTGAATATTGGGAAATTAATACCCCCAGCACCCATAGATTAAAGATAGCTTGCGTTACAAGGTAACATACGCCCACTGGCAGCTGTCAGAAAAAATAAAACAGTCTTTAGTGACTAAAGTACGAATTTTCTCATATTGAAGAAATCATTCATGCTGAATAATTCCACAAATTTTTTTAAAATCAATATCAATAACCCAAATACAACAAACAATTAAATCACACAGCTCTAAGCGTTTTTCGTAAGTTAATGGCATTAACTCAAAAACATTTCATCGAAAATGCGTCAAGTTAGAACCTGTCCGAGATCTTATCAATTTCAAGTTTCTTCAGAATCGGTTGAAAACTGTAGCTTCAATCCTGCTCACGAACTATTTTTAGCAAATTTCGACGCATTTTAGCAAAGGCAAGGGCAATAACTCAAAAACCGTTCGTCGAAAATGCGCCAAGTTAGAACTTGTCCGAGATCTTATCAATTCCAATGATCACACCAAGTTTCATCAGAATCGGTTGAAAACTGTAGCTTCAATCCTGCACACAAACTATTTTTAACAAATTTTGACGTGTTTTTACAAAGTCAAGGGCAATAACTCAAAAACCGTTCATCGAAAATGTGTCAAGTTAGAGCTTGTCCGAGATCTTATCAATTCCAATGATCACACCAAGTTTCATCAGAATCGGTTGAAAACTGTAGCTTCAATCCTGCTCACGAACTATTTTTGACAAATTTCGACGCGTTTTAACAAAGTCAAGGGCAATAACTCAAAAACTGTTCATCGAAAATGCGTCAAGTAGGAACTTGTCCGAGATCTTATCAATTCCAATGATCACACCAAGTTTCATCAGAATCGGTTGAAAACTGTAGCTTCAATCCTGCTCACGAACTATTTTTAACAAATTTTGACGCGTTTTAACAAAGTCAAGGGCAATAACTCAAAAACCGTTCATCGAAAATGCGTCAAATTAGAACTTGTCCGAGATCTTATGAATTCCAATGATCACACCAAGTTTCATCAGAATCGGATGAAAACTGTAGCTTCAATCCTGCTCACGAACAATTTTTAACAAATTTCAAGGCGTGCTAAGTCAAGGGCAATATCTCAAAAACCGTTCATCGAAAATATGTCAAATTCGAACTTGACCGAGATCCTATTGTCATATTGATATCATTAGTTCATATTGTGGTCTTAAAAATCATTGTTAAGTAAGAGTTATCTCCCATATTTTCCTTCTCAGTAAAACAGAGTTGTCTGCTCTTAAGGTAGATGTTTGTCATGTGACAGGATATGTACTTTTGTGAGTTGAAGGCATGATGTAAGAGCTTAGAGATTGAATAAAGCATGGCTGAAACTTAGATT